TAGATAGATGGATAGCTAGCTAGATAGATAGATAGATAGATGGATAGCTAGATAGATAGAAGCCCCTGTCGTAGGTTAGGCGACCTTGAACCTTCAACTCTGAGTCCCGAAAGCCCCAATATCTGTGTCACTGAAAGCAACGGGAACTCAAAAGGATCCCTTTGTATCAAGGAGCCAAACCCCAAAAAGTCAAATCCCTAAACCCGTTAAACCCCTGAACCCCTAAACCCTAAACACCTAAACCCCTAAACCTCTGAACCCTGAACCCCTAAACCCTAAACACTAATACTCATCCCTAACAACGGCCAAGATATCGGGTTGGAGGTTTCGGGTCTTTTCTCTCCGAGACTGGGAACCTTGAGGTGCACTCCCCACTAAGTGGGTCGGGGGACTTAGTAAGTAGGTAAGAAAGTAGACGTAAAAGTACCCATCATAAGGCATCCTGTCGGAACCTAGGCGTTTATAGGGTTGCAGGTGAGTAGACACGTTAGGTCACAGGGAAGAATAATACAGGGGCCTTAACAATTAGAATAGGGTTTGGGGGCATATTATACTATATTTTGGAATAAGAAACCCCCAAAATAGTAAAGGTAACCCTAAACATTAACCCCAAAACCCAAAAAACCCTAATCCAATCGTAGCCTCTGTCTTGAGCCTAAACTGCTACCCGTGCGGTAGAACGCAATCAACCCTACACGCCAAAATAAGAGACATGAACCTCGATCCCAAGCCACCACCAGCCCAATAATCCACAACAACAGAAAACAGCTATACAATAAGAGCCATCAATAACGCCAAGGCACAAGACACCCCAAAACCCTAAACCCAAAACCCTAAACCCTGAACCCTAAACCCTAAACCCTAAACCCTAACAAACAGACCAAGATCTCACATCTGAGAGAAGCACCTTGGCATTCGTCACCGGCCGAGACACCACCAGAAAATCGTTGCCCTGGGCTTAGGGATGGTTTAGGGTTTAGGGTTTAGGGTTTAGGGTTTAGGGTTTAGGGTTTAGGGTTTAGGGTTTAGGGTTTAGGGTTTAGGGGGATGTCGTACAGGGGCCCTAAAGGGCATAGGATTCTAGAATAGGAGCCACACACAGGATATGTTGTACTAGTTATTTCGGACTCCCAACTTAAAGGGCATAGGCTTATAGAATAGGAGCCACACACAGGATATGTTCTACTAACTATTTCGGACTCCCAAGTTAGGGGTGGAAATTTGGTGGTCCAGCGTTGTGAGAGATTTACGGCTTAGGGCTGCGAGAGTTTACCAGGCTCTGGTGTGTTCATGGGCCTGAGGGGGTTCAAACGACGACAGGAAGGGGTTTTGCTGGTTGTCCGGTTTGGGGGGGGGTGTTTGGGGCTCGAGGTTCAGGGGCGTTGGGTTTAGCGATTTGTAGGTGTAGGGTTTAGGGTTTAGGGGTCCAGGGTTTCGGGTTTAGGGTTTCTTTTGTTGAACACCTTACTCCTCCAATGAAAGTCAAGTCTCAAGAAGGGTTGACGGTGGGTTTAGGGCTGAGGGGTTCGGTCGGGGTTTAGGGCTTAGGGTGGAGAGCTCGAGGAGAGTAGTTTGGGTCTGGGGCTTGAGGCTCTCGGGGGTTTAGGTTTAGGGTTTAGGGCATATAGGGTTTAGGGTTTAGGGCTTAAGGTTAAGGGTTAAGGGTTTAGGGTTTATAGGGTTGAGGGTTAAGGGTTCAGGGTTTAGGGTTTAAGGTTTAGGGTTTAGGGTTTAGGTTTTATAGGGTTTAGGGTTTAGGGTTTAGGGCTTATAGGGTTTAGGGTTTAGGGGCCGTTCGATGCTTGCTTCATGGCTCTAGCCGGTGTTACAAAGCAAACAGTGCTGCAAGGGTCTACGCCTCAACAGGCTCAAAGAAGGCTCAAAGGGGGCTTAAGGCGGAGGCCACCAATTCACAAATTACACTGAGGATTTAAGGTTTAGGGTTTAGGGTTTAGGGTTTAGGGGTTTAGGGGTTTAGGGGTTTAGGGTTTAGGGATCATGAAAAGTAGCAGATGCTCTTTGAGACCCAAGAGCCCCTTAGGTTCAACGCCTTCGTGATGTAAGCCTGGTCGCCCTTGGTCCTCGCCCACACAGCATGAGAACGGCCAGCGATGGCCCCACGAAAGGACAGCAAACCACTGCCAGGTCCAGCTGCGAAGCTGTATGCTTGGTAGCTTGTACATTATCCAGGCAATAAATTGGGAAGATGGTGTCCGTTGTACTGCCTTTTGTAACGGCGGATTGCCACGAAACCACCAGGAACATGCGACGCCTGTGTGCGTCTGCGTCGTCGCCGTGTATCTCCAGTGGAACAACGAACGACAGTTCTTCATTCTCGCTTTCGATGTTGATCATGAGGTTACATGAACTCGAGGGTTAGATGGGGTGGCGTGAAAGTCAAATCAGATTTTGCATGCTGGGCACTGACAAATCAGCAAGCACGGGGTCACCGAAACCACCTTTAGTGGAGTTTTTAGCTTTGAGGGCTTAAAGTTTAGCCTTTCGGGCTAAGGGCTTAGATAGTTCAGGGTATAGGCTCTAGATCTTCCGGAAGCTCTTGCACCAACGGATCTTCAAAACCGATTCGGTACTTTGAATTACTTGAGGTGTAGGTGGCCCTCTCGGACCAACACAATGTATACGTACAGTTGCCGAACGTGTACTTTAGTTGGGGGGTATGATACCCCGCTTGAAGGAATACGATCGTCCATAGATTAGACCTAATACTGCTGATGATATAAATCCTGCATCACCGTAAGGACCCTATACTATGGAAATTATGGTATATTCCTCATTATGGGTAATGCATAGCTGTAGAATGAGAGCTTTTCCATATTACAGCCGTCCATATATTATACCCTAAACCCTAAACCCTAAACCCTAAACCCTAAACCCTAAAAACCCTAAACCTAATAAAGACCCCAGGTTTCTTTGTCAGGCTCCTATACTACAACATCCTGAAGGCCATGGAGGCGACCCAGCCTCGATCTGTACCATTGTTCCTGGCCGGATGTTGGCAGGCCGCTGGCTTAGGTCACAGGCTGAGGTTGTTCAGGGTTTAAGGGGTTCAGGGTTTAAGGTTTCGGGTACGGGCTTAGCACACCTCGATACATATTCAAGCATGCCAAAGCTTGATGCTTTAAATCTTCAGGTAGGGAATGGATGATATTTTTGGATGTGTAGCACGTATTTAGCACCAAACTCGAACAACTTAAAACCCTAGGTCCTAACCCAAGCTCCTAAAGCCTGGTTCCGATTCTAGCAGTCCTAAGTTTGGGAAGTGGTTCTGGTCATAGAAACCCTAAGTTTGGGAAGACTCGCAAGCGCACGCGTCACGTTTAATGAAGCGGCCAAGGTCGGGAGCCTACGGCCCAAACCTGACCTGAACCCCGAATCACCCACTTTTTTTGAGGGCTTCTAGATAGAAACCGTAATAAGGATCTCTAAGGGCTTAGAGCCTGAACCCCAAATAGCCTACAGTTTTAAGGATCGACATCGTAATGAGGAGCCCCAAGGGCTTAGAGCCTGAACCCCAAAGAACCTACCCTTTTAAAGGATCGAAATCGTACGAAGGAGCCCCTAAAAACGTAGCTTCTTTGGGGTCCAGGTAAAGCCTCCAACCAGGCACCCCTGGGCCCCAAGACCCTTGACCCTGCACCCCACGCAGCCCCCAGCGCGCCTGCGGAAAGACTGTACGCAGAGCCCAAGCAGCTCGATGCCGCCGATCCCCAAAATATCTAAAGACAATTCTTGAACCTTCAATATGGCAGAGGCACAGAAAAACCTTAACCCTAAACGCCAAACCCTAGACCGTAAACCCAAAGCCTAAACCCTCAACCCTTAAAGCCCAAATATTAAACCAGAAGGTCAGGGCGTTGAGCTCCGACGCACCGTGCTTGAGGATTGTGGCTTGAGTGAAGTTGGAGGTTGGGTCACCCCTTTAGAAGCCGGGTGTAGGAGTTCAGGGCGTTTCAAGCTGCATGAAGCAGGGATTTGGGCTGAGGGTCTTCTGGGCTTCGGGCTTATTGTTTATAGGGTCTTCAGGGTTCATGATGTGGGTTTGTGGCGGGGGGCTTTAGGGCTTCGGGTTGTTAGGGTTTTCAAGCATCGTGGGTTGCGAAGGGGTTACAGATGAAGGCTAATGAAGGTAGGGGCCCTAATAATTAAAATGCGGTTTTGGGGGACTCCTTCTTATCCTTATAGCATACTATACCCCAAACCCTATTCTATTATATAGTATACCCCAAACCCTATACTAATTATCAAGGCCCCTATATTAGGGTCTATAACGGTTTGGGTTCATGCCAAGGACAGAGCTCCTCTGTGTACGAACTATCACTGGCGGCTCGGGACTGACGGTTGGGACCCGAGAACAAAAGAAACAACAACTGGGCTTAGGATTTTAGGGTTTAGGGTTTTGGGGTTTATAGGGTTTAGGGTTTAGGGTTTAGGGTTTTGGGGTTTAGGGTTTTCAGGTTAAGGGTTTAGGGTTTTAGGGTTTAGCGTTCAAGGTTTCCTGGTACGCTAAGGTCACCGGGGATGGGATGCAGTCATGTTGGGTCGGGAGTGCTCTTTGCCAGGACAAGCCATGCATACGCAACACACTACACCACAAAGATGGCAACACAGGATGAAGCTTCCGTGCGACTTCTGTCCCGACCCGCACCGAGCTTTTTGATCACGGCTTGCGGAGCGCATCGCATCAAGCCGTAGGCGTAAGCAGCAAGCACCTGGCACGTCCAGGAATGTTGGGATCCAGATTTCAGGCAGATTATGTTGCACACTGACACGCAACAAGACGCTTGCATTCCGGACCGTTCTTTTTGCCGCAGAGGATGGAAACAGTGTCACGCAAACCCTGAACTCTAAAACCCCCTCGACCCCCCAGACGCTTCAAACCCAATATGCCCCGTGAACCTTCCTAACCCCCTACACCCCTGAGACCCCCTAGACCCTAAACCCCCTAAACCCCTACTAAGCGGCAGGAACCCAGAGAGCCCAATACCCCTTAGATCAGAAAAAAAGCTTTAAGAATCATAGTATGAAGCCCCTTATAATTTAAGCCATATTCCTTATTTAAGGGTATTGGGCTCTCTGGGAACTCCGGTAGCCACGAGTCGGAGAGCTGCCCGGAGCTCCCTGTCCAAACCATCGAGCAGCGCTCGGTCGTGCTGACTTGGCAGGGAGCCCGCTACAGCAATGATTATATACGATAGCCGTAACACAAATATTATTACGAGGGTCTTAATACTTCTAGCCTATAAAAAAACATGCCGTAGAAGCTGCTTAGGGAGCATGCTTACTGTAGATGTGGCAGCTCGGGAAGACGACCGGGCTATAGTAATTGCTGCGCTTATCGCGCGAATTAGGACTGCATTGGAACATCGAGCAGCGCTCGTTCTTGTATATATCGTGGAGGGCTCCGCCCGTCTCTAACTAAAGCGTCACACGAGAACTCAGCCGGGTCTCTCAGGTGCTGTGGCTGCTTCGCGCATCCTCTCTTCTGCCGCGTGGTGGACGTTTCGGCTCCTCGGGGTGATAGCGGTGACAGAAGGAGCAGTCCTCTCCCCGCAAGCACCGATTTCTGATGAAATCCCGGCAAACGTTGCTGCAACGGGTTCCCCCTTTGCAAAGGCGAGAGCCCAGCGATGGCAGGTGGTAGAGACGGGGTGGAGCAGAGCCACACCTGGTCCTGGGCCCGACACTGCCCAAGACGGCCACACCACTCAGGGACACCGGAGCACCATCTCTGCCCGGAGTGCTCGTGAAGACGTAGATCTCTTCTGCCTGCTCTTGGGTCTGCAGCTCAAAGACTTCTTCGGTTGTCATGGAAACACTTGGCAATGCATCCACAACATCCACTCCATTTGGGGTGGTGAGGATATCTCCTTCACTCAATAAAGAGGCCGTCTCGTGGATCCATGACCCGGACCGACGCACTCTGAAGGGATGGCTAGCCGTCATGCGATGTAAAGCTCCACCCACGGACACAACGGACATGAGCCGCTGGGAGATTCCCTGGGACCGCAGCTGACAGATTCGGTTTCCTCCAGGTCCAGCTGCAGAAAGCGCACCGAGTCGCGCGGCCATCTCCACTGGCACGAGAATGTATGTGTTCAGGGGCAAGCAGTCGCCGTTACCGTTATGTCCTGATACGGACTGCACAAGAATCCAGCCATCGACAACATCGGCTGACTCTGCCGCGTCAGCTGCTGGCATGGCGAGGCCCTCGTGCGAGATGAGATCCTCGCCTGCCTCGCTCAAACTGGGAGGACCAACGGACTCCTCCAAGGCGAAATCCTCATCATGTGGCTCCTGCGAACTGGCATGACCAACGCCTGCCTCCAAAGAGAGGCGACCATTGGAAGCCAATTCTGCAACGGCTCGCTGCAGCTCATCAATGGCTGCCGGGAGCTGTTCAAATCTCTCGCAAAGTCTGTGAACCTGACTTTCCATGTTTGCGCTCTCACCAACAAGCTCCTCTGCGCTGTCGTCAAACTCTTGTGCATCCTGCGCCGTGGCGGCAAGCTCGTCCGCGGCGTCTGCCACCATGTCAGCGCACTGTCGCAAGGCCTGGCTGCTTTGAGAGACAGCATGTAACTTGGCTGCAGCCTCCCGGGCTCCCCGGCTTATCTTCTCGAACCATGTCCTGGCAGCTTCGTGTTTTCGGATTTCTTCCTTGTAGATGTGTTGCAGCAAGCTCATCAGAAGGCTCCGCCCGGCCTGTCCCAGCAAAGCCACCGCGCATCCGATCCAAAAGACTGGCAATATCATGGCTGCCCCCCTGCCTGTCCAAGCCACGGTATTGACAACGTTGGTAAGTGTTTCAAAGATAGTGGAGGGAAGCAAAGAGCTCATGATCGTCTTGCTAGCGAGGGTCGCCACTGCCAGTGTTGTTGCTGACGCCGCTGCCGCTCGCGTTCCACAAGCGTTCCGAATCACTATGGCAGCCTGACACGCTGTTGTCAATATAGCTACAGCTCCCAAAATCACCCCGGCAACAGACCCTGCACCACATCCCACCACCACGGTGCCAACTGCGCCAACCAAGTGGAGCAGACCACCGATCACGATGAGGCCTTGACAGGTTCGAGAGACCATCGCCGACCACCACTGTTGTCGGCTCTGAGCCTTTGCAATCAGCTCGTCCGACTGTTGAGCCTTTGCTTCGCACTTTTCAGCAATATCGAGCATCTTCTGCTGAAGTCGCTGCAGCCTGGGGTGCAACTGCTCATACCTCTCTCTGAAGCGCTCGGCTTGATTTTTCAGACGCCTCGCTCGACTCTCCACAATTCTCCACTTGCCGTCGACAAGGTCACGCTTCAGAAGACGAATCTCCTCCTTCATATTCTGAGCCTCCCGTTTCAGAGCAGAAAGCCTGGACTCGTGCAACTCCTTGGCCAGCTCGGCGACAGCAATGGCATCGTCGGACCCGCACATCTCCTGCAGCTCGCTGACAATTTGCTTTGCGGCCTCAGCCTGTTCAGCAATCCTCGCGAACGAGCGCTGCACTTCCAGGCGGAGGGCATCGCGGATGACCCCTTGCACCCAAGCGGGCCGGTCTGCTAAGATCTGCCTGAAGCGCGTCCCCTCTTCTGTCTGCTGAAAGAACTCCAAAGGGTCTTCGGATGAAGGCGCTGCCTCATGCCCCTGCCCCGGGAGATCCGACGGCACTAAGGCCAGCTGCATCTCCGTCGCCATGTCGTGAGGCCGGGCACCGAGATGAGCTGCAGACTGACAGTGCTTGAGAAAAAGTATGGTCCTCAGCAGTGTACGTTCGAGGAGTGCCCTTAGTCGGGCCCTTAGATCAATGGCAGAGCAAAGGCTTGGGTATGGCTTGAGAAATGCTCGACTCACTGCCCAACTACACTCCGGAACTGCTGCAATCCGGTCCTGCCTTGCAAAAGTCTGGCCCATCCTGCCGGTGAGCTGCAAGCCTGAATCTCTGGGGAGGGAGCAGCACTGCGAACTCTTGTTGAAGTTCCTACATCACGCCTCCTATATAAGCTCCTGTGGAGCCACGCAAACACACACACACACACAACACTTGAATACAAGTTTACCAAATCCGGGAACGGAATAGAAGGACTCAAGTTCAGTTCCAGCCGCAGGTGTCGGAGAGCCTAGACACAATATCTGCCTCAAAGAAGTTAGCGTGTTAAGGCTTGTTTCCAAGCCTTGAAGCTACAGCCCTGAACCTGCCCACCCAATTTATGGTCCCCAGCAGGAAGCCAAGAGCCAAGTCAGGTTTCAGGTTCGGCGTTGTGGATATTTAGGGCTGAGAGTTCAACGTCGGTATGGCTCTCCGTGGCTGCACGAAGCAAACCAACAACGGCCAGCACAGAAGCTGACAAAACCTTCAACTCAAGTCGTCGAGTCTCCCTGAACAAATGAAGGGTTTGGTATTAGTGACGAACTATTGCTGCACAGAACCAGCGAGCTAGGTCCAAGCATACTCCAGCACTGCTCTGTGATGATGCCTAAATTCACTCGTTGCAGGTGTAGAAGGCACTTCCACTACCGCAAAGGCAAGGCTGCATATTCGAGCTATCGTGGTCATTGTCATGAGCTCCTGCTGCTAGTTGGACTGATTTGGATTTCCAGGCTGCGCTGCATTCCGACTACAGTCCTGTAAGCCCTGAACCCAGAACCGACTTACCCGTGTTTGCTAAGGAAAGCGGCTCTGATCAATCTAGCTTTCTGCTTCGATAGACTAGAAAAGGGAATCAACTTGAAACTACGTTGCAATGGATAGATAGTGTAGCTGGCCAGGTCTTCCGTGGCTTTCTGGATACTCTTCCTCCTCCTGGCTCCGGTAGTTACCTGTTGCCACCAAAACGAGATGTTGTTTCCAAAATAGAAACAACCCCGTCGTGTTCCTCAAGCTGAAAGATTCCTCAGCCAGAAGCCCTCAGCTCCAAATCTCTGAGAGGAGCACAGCTACTACCAGCCTGAACCTTACAACCCGAAAGCACGAAACCCTGAAACTTGAAACCCTAAACCCTAAAATTAAACCCTAAACCCTGAAACCCTAATCCCTAAACCCTGAACTTAAACCCTAAACCCTGAAACCCTGAAACCCTAACCTAATCCCTAAACCTTAAACTTAAACGCTAAACCCTGAACCCTAAACCTAAACCCTAAACCCTGAACTTAAACCCGAAA